TCAATCATACAATCATCAGTCCCTCCCCTCATACCAGGGTACTAGGTGTAATCCTGGACTCCCATCTGTCCTTTTATCCCCAAATCCAATCACTGTCCAAATCTTGTAGACTTCACCTTCGCAACATCTCCAAGATACGCCAGTTCTTAACCTCTGAAACTACTAAGAAACTTTTTCACTCCCTGGTTATCTCTTGACTATTTTAACTCCCTCCTCATTGGCCTACCTCATCGTAGGCTAACCCCTCTATAGTCTATCATGAATGCTGCTGCCAGACTCATCCACCTTACTAACCATTCCATATCTGCCATCCCTCCACTGGCTTCCCATTGCCCAACGAAAAAAAATCAAAACATTACCAATCACATATAAAACCATTTATAACTCTGCCCCAAATTACATCACCAATCTTGTCTCCAAATATCACCCAAACCGTCCTCTCCTCTCCTCCCACTACCTCCTGCTCTCTAGCTCCCTTGTCTCCTCCTCCCATGCTCACCTCCAGGACTTCTTCAGAGCCTCCCCTATCCTCTGGAACTCTCTACCCCAATCTATCAGACTATCGCTTACTCTGCCCACTTTTAGGCGATCTCTGAAAACCTATCTCTTCAGGGAAGCCTATCCTGCCTCAGCTAATAATGGAATCTTCTATTCCTTCTACCAGTCCATCCCCCACAATTATTACCTTTTGTGCCACCAGCCCCTTCCTCTTAGATTGTGAGCTCCAAGGAGCAGGACCCTCCTAACTCTCTTGTATTGAACTGTATTGTTGCTGCATTGTCCCCTTTATCTTGTAAAGCGCTGAGCAAACTGTTGGCACTATAAATCCTGTATAATAATATAATAATATATATATATATATATATATATACACACACACACACACACACACACACACACACACACACTGCTCAAAAAAATTAAAGGAAAACTTTGAAAACACATCAGATCTCAATGGGGAAAAATACTGTATCATGCTGGATATTTATACTGATATGGACTGGGTAATGTGTTAGGAATGTAAGGATGCCCCATCGTTTGATGGAAATGAAAATAATCATCAACCTACAGAGGACTGAATTTAAAGACACCACAAAAAACGTGAAAAAATGATGCAGCAGGCTAGTCCATTTTGCTGAAATTTCATTGCAGCAACTCAAAATGGTACTCAGTAGTTTGTATGGCCCCCACATACTTGTATGCATGCGTGACAACATCTTCTGCCAGGAGGAACCCAAGACCCACTGCAACAGCGTAGGGTCTGACAATGGGTCAAGGATTTCATCTCTATACCTAATAGCAGTCAGAGTGCCATTGTCTAGCCTGCAGAGGTTTGTGAGTCCCTCCATTGATATGCCTCCCCAGACCCTCACTGACCCACCACCAAAACAGTCATGCTGAATGATGTTACAGGCAGCATAATGTTCTCCATGGCTTCCCCAGACCCTTTCACGTCTGTCACATGTTCTCAGGGTAAACTGCTCTCATCTGTGAAAAAGCACAGGGTGCCATTGGTGGACCTGCCAATTCTGGTGTTCAGTGGCAAATGCCAATCGAGCTCTATGGTGCTGGGCAGTGAGCACAGGACCCACTAGAGGAAGTCAGGCCCTCTGGCCACCGTCATGAAGTCTGTTTCTCATTGTTTGGTCAGAGAAATTCACACCAGTGGCCTGCTGGAGGTCATTTTGTAGGTCTCTGGCAGTGCTCTTCCTGTTCCTCCCTGCACAAAGCAGAGCAGATACCAGTCCTGCTGATGGGTTAAGGACCTTCTACAGTCCTGTCCAGCTCTCCTTGAGTAACTGCCTGTCTCCTGGAATCTCCATGATCTTGAGACTTTGCTGGGAGACACAGCAAAGCTTCTGGCAATGGCACGTTCTGATGTGTCACCTTGGAGGAGTTGGACTGCCTCTGCAACCTCTGTAGGGTCCAGGTATTGCCTCATGCTACCAGTAGTGACACCGACCCTAGCAAAAAGTAAAACCAATGAAAAACAGTCAGAAATGATGAGTAGTGAAAAATGTCAGTGGCCTCCACCTGTAAAACCATTCCTGTTTTGGGGGTCATCTCATTGTTGTCCATCTAGTGCACCTGTTGTTATTTTCATTTACACCAAAGCAGCTGAAACTGATTAACAATGCCATCTGCTACTTAACTGACCAGATCAATATCCCAGGAGTTTCATTAACTTTTGCCACATTTTGTTATGTTGCAGCCTTTTTCCAAAATGGATTAAATTCATTTTTTCCTCAACAATCTACAAACAATACCCCATAATGACAACGTGAAGTTTGTTTGGAAATCTGCATATTATTAAAAATAAAAACGCAAAAAAACACATGTACATTCACATCCTTTGCCATGACACTCAGAATTAAGCTCTGGTGCATTATGTTCCCACTGATCATCCTTGAGATGTTGCCACAACTTGATTGGAGTCCACCTGTGGGAAATTCAGTTGATTGGACATGATTAGGAAAGGCATAAACCTGTCTATATAAGGTCCCACAGTTAACAGTGCATGTCAGAGCACAAACCAAGCCATGAAGTCCAAGGAATTGTCCGTAGACTTCCAAGACAGGATTGTATCAAGGCAAAGATCTGGGGAATGGTACAGAAATATTTTTTGCAGCATTGAGTGTCCCAATGAGCACAGTGGCCTCCATCATCCGTAAATGGAGGAAGTTTGGAACCACCAGGAATCTTCCTAGAGCGGGCCACCTGGCCAAAATGAGCGATCAAGGGAGAAGGGCCTTAGACAGGGAGGTAACCAAGCACCTGGTGGTCACTCTGAAAGAGCTCCAGCATTTCTCTGTGGAGAGAGGAGAACCTTCCAGAAGAACAACCATCTCTGCAGCACTCCACCATTCAGGCCTGTATAGTGGCCAGACAGAAGCCACTCCTCAATAAAAGGCAAATGGCAGCCTGCCTGAAGTTTGCCAAAAGGCACCTGAGGGACTCTCAGACCATGAGAAACAAAACTCTCTGGTCTAATGAAACAAAGATTGAACTCTTTGGCCTGAATGCCAATTGCCATGTCTGGAGGAAACCAGGCACCACTCACCACCTGGTCAATACCATCCCTACAGTGAAGCATGGAGGTGGCAGCATCATTCTATGGGGATGTTTTTTAGTGGCAGGAACTGGGAGACTAGTCAGGATCAAAGAAAAAATGAATGCAGCAATGTACAGAGACATCCTTGATGAAAACCTGTTCCAGAGAGCTCTGGGCCTTAGACTGTGGTGATGGTTCATCTTTCAACAAGACAATGATGCTAAGCACACAGCCCACATAACAAAGGAGTGGCTACGGACCAACTCTGTGAATGTCCTGGAATGGCCCAGCCAGAGCCCATACTTGAACCCGATTGAACATCTCTGATCTGAAAATGCCTGTGCATCAACGCTCCCCATCCAACCTGATGGAGCTTGAGAGGTACTGCAAAGAAGAATGGGAGAAATTGCCCAAAAATAGGTGTGCCAAGCTTGTAGCATCATACTCAAAATGACATGAGGCTGTAATTTGTACTAAAGGTGCTTCAACAAAGTATTGAGCACAGGCTGTGAATACTTATGTACATGTGTTTTTTTTTTCATTTTTTATTTTTAATAAATTGCAAAGATTTCAAAATGAACTTCTTGCACATTGTCATTATAGCTTATTGTTTATAGAATGTTGAGGAAAAAATTAATTTAATCCATTTTGGAATAGGGTTGCAACAGAACAAAATGTGGCAAGAGTTAAGCGCTGTAAATACTTTCTGGATGCACTGTATATACATATATATATATATATATATATATACACAGTATATATACATATACACACACACACACACACACACACACAATGTTGTCAAAAGTATTGAGACACCTGCCTTTACACGCACATGAACTTTAATGGCATCCCAGTCTTAGTCCGTAGGGTTCAATATTAAGTTGGCCCACCCTTTGCAACTATAACAGCTTCAACTCTTCTGGGAAGGCTGTCCACAAGGTTTAGGAGTGTGTCTATGGGAATGTTTGATCATTCTTCCAGAGGCAAATTTCTGAGGTCAGGCACTGATGTTGGATGAGAAGGCCTGGCTCACAGTCTCCGCTTTAATTCATCCCAAAGGTGTTCTATCGGGTTGAGGTCAGGAATCCACCGCAAACTCACTCATCCATGTCTTTATGAACCTTGCTTTGAGCACTGGTGTGCAGTCATGTTTGGAACAGGAAAGGGCCATCCCCAAACTGTTCCCAGAAAGTTGGGAGCACGAAATTGTCCAAAATGTCTTGTTATGCTGATGCCTTAAGAGTTCCCTTCACTGGAACTAAGGGGCCAATCCCATGCCCCTGAAAAACAGCCCCACACCATAATCCCCCCTCCACCAAACCTTACACTTGGCACAATGCAGTCAGGCAATTGCCATTCTCCTGGCAACCGCCAAACCAATACACGTCCATCAGATTTCCAGACGGATAAGTGTGATTCATCGCTCCAGAGAACACGTCTCTGCTGCTTTAGAGTCCAGAAGCGATGTTCTGTACACCACTGCATCCGACGCTTTACATTGTACTTAGTGATGTAAGGCTTGGATGCAGCTGCTCAGCCATGGAAACCCATTCCATGAAGCTCTCATAGCACTGTTGTTGTTCTAATCTGAAGGTCACATGAAGTTTGGAGGTCTTTAGCTATTGACTCTGCAGACCGTTGGCTTCAGCGTGCGCTGACCCTGCTCTGTAATTTTATGTGGCCTATCACTTCGTGGCTGAGTTGCTGTTGTTCCCAGTTGCTTCCACTTTGTTATAATACCACTGACAGTTGACCGTGGACTATTTAATAGCAGGGAAATTTCATGGATGGACTTATTGCACAGGTGGCAACCTATCCCGATACCACACTTGCATTCACTGAGCTCCTGAGAGCGACCCATTCTTTCACAAATGTTTGTAGAAGCAGCCTGCATGCCTTGGTGCTTGATTTTATACATCTGTGGCCATGGAGGCGAATGGAACACCTGAATCCAATGATTTGGAGGGGTGTCCCAATACTTTTGGCAATATAGTGTGTATGTGTATGTATATTTATTTATATATATATATATATATATATATATATATATATATATATATATATATATATATTTACAAACACACACATCTCAAATTGCTGTTGTCCGAGTGTTGTGACAAATGGAAGATCTGTCACTGTGTATATTTGCAGATAATAATAGTACTCAGAGTGAGGCATGTCTGCACTGGGAAATTAATGGTCATTAATGTAACAGCTTCCCGCACAGCACTCTATCCATGGCCCCATCCAGCTGTCAGAAGATTTCCAAGCCAAAAGCTAAATGTGGGCAGGGGTGATGATGTTGTCACCCAAACACGGCAATGCCCATCCTTTATAAATTACCCCTATCAGCCATAGTGCTGTCCCTCCCTCTCCCAGTTTCTGAGTAAAGGCTGCACAGGAGATTAGATGATGCTGATATCAAGACATTTCAGAAACATTAAAATGGTGTAACCAAAATGCTTAATTACTAGTAGCACTGTGAAAACAATAACCACAATGAGAAGAGCATTAAATAATGTCCATAAACAATAAAAATACTTACTTAGTGATAACATCATAAAAATATTACGATGAATATTATGATGAATAAGAATATCGAATCCAACACTGAATCCTCTTCACTGCTGCGACTCCAGTGATCTATTTTTATGATGTCATCACTATGTAAGCAGTTTTAGTGTTTATGGACACTTCAGACTTTTTTTCATATACATTGCTCAAAAACATTAAAGGAATACTTTTTATGCATTTTAAAATAAGGCTGTAACATAACAAAATGGGCAAAAGGTAAGCGCTGTGAATACTTTCTGGATGCACTGTATGTATATATACAGTTGTGTTCAAAATAATAGCAGTGTGTTGAAAAAAATGAATAAAGCTCAAAATCCTTCTAATAGCTTTTATATCCATACACACAAATGCATTGGGAACACTACACATTCTATTCCAAATCAAAACATGAAGAAAAATATATCAAATTTGTGTTGTTCCTCTAAAAAAATTGAAGAAAAGTGAATATTAGATTGTTCAAAAAAATAGCAGCGTTTGTATTCTTCTTTACAAACTCAAATATTCACAATATAAACTGAAAAATGTCTGAAGATTTTGCTTTCCTTTGAATCACTTAATTAATATTTAGTTGTATAACCACTGTTTCTGAGAACTGCTGTACATCTGTGTTGCATGGAGTCAACCAACTTCTGGCACCTGTGAACAGGTATTCCAGCCCAGGATGATTGGACTACATTCCACAGTTCTTCTCTATTTCTTGGTTTTGCCTCAGAAACTGCATTTTTGATGTCACCCCACAAGTTTTCTATTGGATTAAGATCCGGGGATTGGGCTGGCCACTCCATAACGTCAATCTTGGTCTGGAACCAAGATGTTGCACGTTTACTGGTGTGTTTGGGGTCGTTGTCTTGTTGGAACACCCATTTCAAGGGCATTTCCTCTTCAGCATAAGGCAGCATGACCTCTTCAAGTATTCTGATGTATTCAAACTGATCCATGATCCCTGGTATGCGATAAATAGGCCCAACACCGTAGTATGAGAAACATCCCCATATCATGATGCTTGCGCAACCATGCTTCACTGTCTTCACAGTGTATTGTGGCTTGAATTCAGTGTGCTCTTTGGCAAATTGTAACCTCTTCACCACGTCTTTTTTTCAACAGTGGGACTTTGCAGGGGCTTCTTGCAGATAGCTTGGCTTCACATAGGTGTCTTCTAATTGTAACAGTACTCACAGGTAACTTTAGACCTTCTTTGATCTTCCTGGAGCTGATTGTTGGCTGAGTCCTTGACATTTTGGCTATTCTTCTATTCATTCAAATGGTAGTTTTTCCCTTTCTTCCACGTCTTTCAGGTTTTGGTTGCCATTTTAAAGCATTTGCGATCATTTTAGCTGAGCAGCCTATCATTTTCTGCACTTCTTTATATGTTTCCCCTCTCCAATCAACTTTTTAATCAAGGTACGCTGTTCTTCTGAACAATCTCTGGAACGACCCATTTTCCTCAGAATTTCAGAGAGAAATGCACTGTAACCAGCATGTACAACATTTGCTGCCTTCCTTCCTTCCTTAAATAAGGGCAATAATTGCCACCTGTTTTTCAAAGAATGAATGACCTCACTAATAGAACTCCACACTGCTATTATTTTGAACATGCCCCTTTCAATTAGTGATTCAATTACACAAAATCAGCAGCATGCATGTCATGACTGTTGGGTCTGTTGGATTTCTATTACTCTACTACACCTGCTAGTAAATTATTTGCAATGTAGAAATATCATTTCTACCAAAATCAGTAATTGATCAGGTTAGTGATGTCTGACTGTTATTATTTTGAACACAACTATATATATATATATATATATATATATATATATATATATATATATATATATATATACATACATACACAGACACACACTGCTCAAAAATATTAAAAGAACACTTTTTAATCAGAGTATAGCGTCAAGTCAATTAAACTTTGGTCAGTTAAGTAGCAGAGGGAGTTGTTAATCAGTTTCAGCTGCTTTGGTGTTAATGAAATTAACAGGTGGGCAACAATGAGACGACCCCCAAAACTGGAATGGTTTTACACGTGGAGGCCACTGACATTTTCTTCCCTACTCATCATTTCTGACTGTTTCACTAGTTTTGCATTTGGCTAGGGTCAGTGTCAACACTGGTAGCTTGAGGTGATACCTGGACCCTACAGAGGTTGCACAGGCAGTCCAACTCCTCCAGGATGGCACATTAATACGTGCCATTGCCAGAAGGTTTGCTGTGTCTCCCAGCACAGTCTCAAGAACATGGAGGAGATTCCAGGAGACAGGCAGTTACTCAAGGAGAGCTGGACAGGGCCGTAGAAGGTCCTTAACCCATCAGCAGGACCGGTATCTGCCCTGCTTTGTGCAAAGAGGAACAGGATGAGCACTGCCAGAGCCCAACAAAATGACCTCCAGCAGGCCACTGGTGTGAATGTTTCTGACCAAACAATGAGAAACAGACTTCATGAGGGTTGAATGAGGGCCTAACATCCTCTAGTGGGCCCTGTGTTCACTGCCCAGTACAATAGAGCTCAATTGGCATTTGCCATTGAACACCAGAATTGTCAGGTCTGCCATTGGTGCCCTGTGCTTTTCACAGATAAGAGCAGGTTCACCCTGAGCACATGTGACAGACAAAAAAAAGCGTCTGGAGAAGCCATGGAGAACATTATACTGCCTGTAACATCGCCCAGCATTACTTTTTGGTGGTTGGTCAGTGATGCTCTGGAGAGGCATATCCATGGAGGGACACACAGACCTCTACAGGCTACACAATGGCATCCTGACTGCTATTAGATATCGGGATGAAATCCTTGAACCCATTGTCAGACCCTATGCTGGTGCAGTGGGTCCTGGATTCCTCCTGGCGCACGACAGTGCCCCGTCTTAGGTGGTGAGAGTATGCAGGCAGTTCTTCGAGGATGAAGGAATTGATACCATTGAATGGCATCGCGTTTCAGTACATCTGACACTGCCAGGTTGCACCTCAGACTGTCCAGGAGCTCAGTGATGCCCTGGTCCAGATCTGGGAGGAAATACACCAGGACACTATCCGTTGTCTCATTAGGAGCATGCCCCGATGTTGTCAGGTATGCATATAAGCACGTGGGGGCCGTAAAAACTACTGAGTACCATTTTGAGTTGCTACAATGAAATTTCAGCAAAATGGACTAGCCTGCTGCATCATTTTTTCACTTTGATTTGTGGGGTGTCTTTGAATTAATTCAAAGGTAAATTGAATAGGGTGATAATTTTCATTTACATCAAACGATGGAGCATCCTTACGTTCCTAACGCATTACCCAGTCCATATCAGTATAGATATCCAGCATGATATTTTTCCCCATTGAGATCTGATGTGTTTCCAGAGTGTTCTTTTAATTTTTTGGAGCAGTGTATTTACTTATCTACAGTATGCGATTATTGTTTTCACAGCACTACTAGTAATTAAGCACTTCGATTGTTGATTACACATTTGTACTTATAAAAGTGGGGTTTAAGTAGCAGCAGTGGATTGTTTTGTATTTTTATGTATGTTTAGTTTTTTGATTATCACTTTTTTAGCACAGAGAGGGGATATAAATATTGATTTCATGTTTTTAATTAAAGTGGTTGTAAACGCTAACATAAACCCAGTGAAGTGACTGGCTTCAGGTGCTACACAAAGATGAAACAAATCATCCTACATATAGTAGGTTGTACCTGTTTATCTGCAGTATTATCTTGTCTACATCCATTCAACATTTTAAATTTTTAAGCTTGTCTAAGAGTTCACAAAAAAGGGGGCAGAGAGCTGAAGTTACATTCTGCAGAGCTGATTGGAGGAAAGAGACACCCACCCTCCACACAGCACACAGGAACAGAGCTGAGGATGTCAATCTGTCACCAATTTTTTTCTTGGTGTCAGGAAAACTTGTCAGAAGTGAGTAATTCGGATAGCAGAGGAACAAGGCAGCAGGCAGAAATGACACTTAGTGCTCTTAATTGAGACAAGTACACACTACAGAGGGTTATGCTTTGTTCATATTTCAGGTGTGAGGTTTACAACCACTTTAAGGGAATTCCGGAACCTAAATAAATAGGACTTAAATAGAAATGGTGTAATGTGGCCCGTACAAACCATATGTGCTATCTGTAAGTCTACATTTTTGTATCATGAAGCCTACACACATCAGCAGGCACTGTACTTCAGCATCTGTTATGTAGACAACAAGGTTTCTCAAGGACACTTCTGGGAAAGATTCCACAATACAAAGTTTCTGTAGCGGCAAGTACCCAGTGTGAATGCATAGAGACAGGAAGAGCCTGCAATTCTGGAAATGCTTTTTCTCCTGGGTGGTATAATATTCAATTGTAATGTTTTTGTGCTTGACATCTGGAGATAGTCAGGACACAGAAAACATACTGTAATGTCAAACTTTATATTCAGCATCAGACAGGAACAATGGAGCTATAACCCC